AGAATTATATCCCCCTTCTTACTGATGGCCAAGAAGGCTCTCTGATTCACATTTTGCCTCTGGTGATTGACTCATCCTGGATGGCTCTTTCTTGTCTTTCTCCAGTGCACCAGTGGTAGCTCCCCCACCCCAGTCCTCAGATGCTACAGTTCTTAGGGCTACTACAGCCTAAGGTAATACCCTCACTTCTCTGTATCCTATCCTGGCGTTACCATGGTGAAAGTGCTAACAGTGTCCCTTTGCAGCGTGCCAGCTGCAATCCGAGTCCCTCCTGCCACTAGTGATCATGCCCAGCTGGCTGGCAGGAAGCCACCTCCAAGCTCCCAGTTGAAAGTTGGCTTTCTAAGACTACTCCTGCTACCCTGTTTTAGGTCCCGCTCCCCAGATGCAGGTTTCGATGGTGTCAGCATCACCCACGGTAACAAAGGCAGTTGCCCCGGTGGTGGGGGTGGGGGTGGTGAACTGAAAAGCAGTCACACTAGTCCATCCCACAGATGCAGTGGAACAGGAGTTGCCCTTTGGAGATGTCCCAGAATGAGCAAAAGGTCTGAGTCTGCCTACCCCATACTGAGCAGGCTCCAGATGTAAGCTGCCCCGGGAAGGAGCATCACCTTGGGCAAGGTGGCCTCTTCCGCAGAAGGCAGTTCCTGGAAAGACTCAGCCGTGACAGCTGGGGGCAGGGAGGGTGCCGGGTGCATCGCAGCCTCTACTACAAGTGTCACTGACTCAACCTCTCCACTTTGGGTCAGGAATGGAGGGTGGTTCTACAGCCCATCCACAGTGGCAGGCTGAGGTTTAGGCAAGCCCGATCCTGGAGGATTCCTATAATGCCCTGGGGTCGTCATAAAGGGGGCTGGGGAGAGGAGAGTCTGCAGAATCAGTTGGATAGGACTGGTTAAATACAAGGAATGACAAGAGGCAACTGCAGAGTTCAAGGCAAGGGAGTCACGTCATTGAAGGAGAAATGACTAATAAAGCAGATTTGAAATTTTCCTTAGGCCTCCAGCTGTAAGCATGGATGATAGGATGGTCCTATCTTGAACTTGAAGATGACTGCATGCTTCTGAGCTCTGTCTTGTTTTGTTGTTTGTTTGTGGCACTGGGGCTTAAACTCTGGGCCCCACGCTTGCTAGGCAGGCACTCTACCAGTTGATTCACTCTGCCAGTCTCATCTGTCTTGCTCTATAGAAGAGAATCTGGGTACTTAGGACAGCATAGACCCAACCCAGAATGTGACGAGGCCAGGCGATGGTGTCAGTGAGCCATCCAAAGGCAGGCAGCAAGCATTTCCCTCTGAGGTAGCCAACGTCTTAGTTCTCCTGACCTAAAGAATGTAAAAATCCCAGCTTTTTCTTTCCCTTAACCTTGCAAAGTTCTGCTTTTCCAAAGAAAACTGGAACCCTCTGCCTTGACTCCTTGTAGCAACCTGTTTTGAGCTGTAACCTGTGTGGTTAGCACTTGCTTGGTGTGGCCTGCGGTGCTGAAATCTGGCTTGGTGACATTCTGTGGAGCAGCTGCTGTATTCACATCTGTAATAGACAGCATCTCCCTTTTCCTGAGCTAGGCTCAGACTGCATTCCAGGAAAGAGAGAGCACTGGTTCTGTGAATTCTCTTTCTGCAACACTGGCTTCTACCTTGGGTGAGCCTTAAGTCGCTTTGTCCAACTTCTATGAAATGGTCCCCAGGCAGTGACCAGACAGATGCTGCAGCTCAGCTGACCACCACCATTCAGAGGGCAAGTTGTCCTTGAAGGGGGGGTACAGCCAATGTGTTAAAGCGGTTGAAGACACGTTAAGAATGTGGACAGAAGGGAGGAGGTCCAGTAAGGTGAATGTGTCATGGCTGCCCATTGCTTGTGCTGGAATCCACTTTAGCCAACTTCACTCACTAGCCCTGGACCCAGATTGTAGGCAGCTGCCATGCTGCACCTTCTGATAGCTTTGCAGCCATATCCCCCGCTCCAGGCCATGTCAGGTGACTGGCCAGTTGTGACCTTACTGGTAGTGCTGCTGAAGATGGTGTGGCAGTCCCAGTGCACACTGGAGCATGAGACCCGAGCTTGCCTTCCCATACCTGGCCCAGGCCTGTACTGCAGGTGCTGGCACCCACAGGCACCTGGAGAGGACAAAAGCCCCTGGATGTGAGCGATATCCTTTGCTTTTTAAACTTAATGTGTGGAGTCAGCTGTAGTGGTATCTGCCTGTAATGCCAACACTCAGGAGGCCGATGCAGGAGGGTCACCATGAGTTCAAGGCAAGTCTGGGCTACACAGTGGGACCTGTCTCAAAAAAACAAAACAACAACAACAACAAAAAAAACAGGGGAGGAGGGGATAGAGAAGGTGGAGGAGTCAATTCAAGTATGATGTATTTGATAGATTGTGAAAATCTTTGTAAATACCACAATGTGCCCCACCCAGCACAATAAAAAAAAAATTAAAAAAACAACAACAAAAACCCATGTGGAGTGGGAATCTGTTCATTTCGTCCTCTTAGCATCCTGTGCACCAGCTCCCCCACCCCCCAGAATTCCTCTTTTTTGGCAGTACTAAGGCTTGAACTCAGGGTCTTCCACACACACTCTACTATTTATTTGAGCTATGCCCCATGCCCCCAGCGCAGCAGTTCTCTTCTTTTGGGAGAACTTTCTTTCCTGCTTCATGTGACCCCTGGGACTTTGCCTTTCATTACCTGCCCCTCCTCCGTCAGAGCTCTGGCTAAAGGGCTTCTTTCCAGCATTCAGCCTCAGTTAAATTTCACCTTCTTGGAGACCTGCCCTGACCACCATCTCTAAAGCAGTCTGTGGTCCTAGCACCCTCTACATTATCCTGCTTTAGTTTCCTCTCCAGAATGACCTTGGTGACCTGGGGACAGCCCATGGGACTGCTATCCCTGTGACATGCCCTGTCCAGAATCAGTGCCTGCACAGGTGCTCCATCACACTGCTGTTCAGTTGATTGTGACTTATGGAGCCCTCCACTACCCTGCTAGCCTGGCTGGTGACTTGTAACACAGGAAGGTGGCAGAGCTGTCACTTTGGAATCCTGATTCCCTCACCACTCCTGAAGTCCAGCTGTTGAACACCTCTTTTGATTCTGGAGTTACACCCAGTAACCTTAGAAAGGGCCAGGGGGAGGCAGTTTTTAGGGTTATAGTAGCCAACTGGCTTGCAATGTCAGAGCCCCAGCAAAAGCTTTTTCTTTTGTTTTGTGGTTGAACTCAGGACCTCACGCTTGCTAGGCAAGGCATTCTTACTGCTTGAGCCACTCCGCCAGCCCTTTTTTGTGATGGGGTTTTTCAAGATAGGGAACTATTTGCCTGGAGCTGGCTTTGAACTTCAGTCCTCTTGATCTCTGCCTGAGTAGCTAGGATTACAGGTATGAGCGACCAGCACGTGATTCCAACAAAACCTTTAATCCAAGTTACCATGGTCAAACTGTCATAATTTTTATTTTATTTTTTATTTGTGGCATCAGGGTTTGAATTCAGGGTCTTGCTAGGTAGGCACTCTACCACTTAATCCATGTCTCCAGCCCTTTTTATCTTATTTTTCTGTATGGTCATGTGCATTTTAGACCGGGTTGGCCTGGACTGTGATTCTTCTACTTATGCCTCCCAAGTAGCTGGGATTACAGACAGGAGCCACCTTGCCCAGCCAAAACCTTCATAGCTCTTTTAAATAGCTGTATTCTATATCTTGTGAAGTGACAGCTATGTAGGTCACCCTAATTCTCTGCAGTTCTGAACAGGACTCCTATGAGCTCCACTAAGATCTGAGCTTTTCTTGTTTCTAGAATTGCTTTCAAGGGTGGCTTCTGAGAATCGGACTTGTGGGCCTGGATAGCATCAATATTTTAAGGAACTTGAGGGACACTTTTTACAAAACATCTTCCCATAAAAAAGTGCAGCAGCCTGCTCGCCATGCTGCAGTCAGCAATCAGTGCTGCTCGCTTGCTGAGCAGATCAGCTCCTGCTCACCGTGGGCCGTGTTCTCTGGTTACCACTCGTGCAGTGCCTTCCTAGCCGGCTTTCTGCACAGGATGGAGTTTTCCCTATTATTGCACCACGAGCAAGGCTGTGAACACAGTTCCATATTTGTCACAGATATGCCCCATTCTTGGTGTAATCTAGCTCACTTTTTCTTTTCTTTTTCTCTTTTTGAGACAGGGTCTTGCTCAGTAGGCCAGGCGACTTGGATTCATAGTTCTCCTGCCTCCACCTCTGCTAGGGTGACAGTGTGTGCCACCACGCCCAACTTGTAATCTAGCTTTCTGGTCCTACAATGGGACATGTTTCTCTTGCCAGCCTCCCTGCAGGCTGCTCTTCTCCACCTTTTCAGCCTTTCCCAGGTGGACAGAGCAGGGAAGAGGCCTGAGGGGACAGGGGCAACCCACCCTGTGGACCTTTCGCAGTGGGACGCTCGCAGCAGTGCAGTGGACTCACAGAGCACGCTGTTCTCACGGTGAAAAAGCCAAATCCTACCTACAGACGGACTAAATAGGACCTGGAGAAGAAACACTTTGAGAGTACAGTGCAGTTTTAAATACAACACCAGGACCACTACGAACTTAAAATATCCTAGTTACCTACTCCTCCCTCCCTCTCGTCATACAGGAACATGGGAGTGCCAGAGAGGCAAGACAGCCCGATTTCTCTGAGCAGAGCTAGCACTAATTTAATACCTAGCATCATCAGAACAGTGAAACCTGTTGAGATTATTCTAAGAAGGGGGGAGGAGGAAAGAGGGAGAGTGATGGAAGGATGAATCTAATTAAGATACGTTGTAAACACAAATTTAAGTGTCACAATGACCTCCCGTACAATACAGATCAATAATATCATCATCATCAAACAGATATTAGCCCCCTCAAACAATAACGTGCAAAGACAGCTAAGTTAAATCGGAGAAGAAAATCCATGACTATCAAACTTCCCTTGCTATCCTGCCCCATGGGAAGTTGAATACACAGGCAGTTTCCATACTAGCAAAATATCTTTATTACTTTTATAATGATAAAACAAGGAAAGTAAAGATTTCTTTTTGGTATATACCAGAGTCAAGGGAAATAGAAGAATAAGGGGATTAATAGCATTTTTATGTACTTTTGATGACATAAAAAGTTAACAATACCAACTATTTGCCATAAAACTTATCATAGCTCCCCCAAAACACATATATAAAGGATCATAGTTTTAAAATCTATAAAAGTAAAAAATATACAGTGGGAAGCTCTAACGCTTATTCCATCTTCAATATAAAATTGTAAACATTTATTTACACAAAGCACGTGTGTATAACAGAAGTCCGAGCACCCTTTTCTTCTGAGTCTTGGCTCTGGGAAGATGGGGATGTGCACGGAAACAGTCATCTCCTCCCTGGACTCCCCAAAGCCAGATTCATAAATAAAGCCATGGGCAGCTCTGTGGGGGGACCCCAAGAATCACATTTTATTGCTATGACACTGCAGCAAGTAAGACGCCCACTGTTTGTGTAGCCAGCCGGGGACTAAGGCAGAGTGCTGGGGCCAGTGAGCGCCCTGGGGATGGATGGGGGCAGCAGCCGGGGAGACCACCAGAGGAGTGAGGACCCATAACCAGCCTTCAGCCCTATTTTTGGTAGAAAACCTGCTGAAGTCACCCTCTTCCCCTACAGATTGGGGAACTTGCTCAGAGGGCAGCATCTTCACTGGCTTTATAACTCACCCCCTTCTGTGAGAGCTGAGCATCTGAGTTGAACATCTGGGGAGGGCGGAGAGGGCAGGGAGGGCAGGGAGGGCGGTTAAAAGGGGAAGTGGCTCATGCACCACTGGTGGTAGCTAATGGCTATTAGGATCCGAGGGGCCCAGTACCCTCAGTGTAAAAGGCACTGCCGGTGCAAACTAATTAGCAATGTGTGGACAACCCTTTATCTCCTCAAGAACGACTCAGGCTAGTCACGTGAGCATTTTCCTTGTCTTAAATCTTTATACCTACCATACTCCTTGAATGATCCATCTGGAGACTCCAGGGAAATAGAGATGGGGTTGTGGTTTCTCTACAGACCATTCTGTACATAGCCACTCCTCAGTGAATTCCTTAACTCTTTTCCCTCCGCCATCCTGCATTAAGGGTCTTGCTCTGCGTCACCATCTTGCTTTGGATCTGGACAAGTGCTCTCTTCCTTGTCTCCCACAAATAGCCCACCTGCCACATTCTAGTCTGTGGGCTCTCAGCTCAGTCAAGTCCATTAACTAATAGACCTTCGGAGAAAGTCCACATGAATCTTTAGAAAGGATATCTTAGTGTTATAAAGCAATCTTTAAAAGTGCAAGTCATCTGAGGAGGGAGTGGCAGAAGTCAGCAAACACAGAGGAATTCCTTGCCCTGGGCTGGCCTGCAGCCTTCTTCTCCTAAGCCTTTCCTGCTAGGGTTCCCTAAAGAATTTTAATGACTCCTTTTCCCTCTCCAATGTAGTAAATCACTGTTTCCCATTTGGGCTGGAGAGAGGAAAAGAGGAAGCAGAAAGAAAGTTCATGGAAATGAAGCCTAGGTAGAGGAAAGCCATCTGTGCACACTGAACAACCACGCGCCTAACCATGTTAATACAAGTGTCAGAAACACTGCAGAAGGTGGGGGTCACTGAACCCCTGAATCTCCACCCTCAGCCTGGGGTCCTCAAGAGTGAGTGACAACCAGGAAGGACAGAGCTCCAGAAGGAGGAGGAGCTGCTAGGAGGACCCTATCTGAGTCACCAGATCCATTATCTCACGGCATCCTGTTCCTTTTTGGCATCTGCAGTCACAGCCTGTGCTTAGGGAAATAATTTTCCAGTGACCCTCCTTCTCCCCTGGAAATTGTTGACAGAGCAGAAAAAAAACGGCTCTGAATCAAAAGAGAACCTTAGATTCTCAACGCCACTTAATCAATACAAACCACCACCTAGCCTAATCTGCTTAAAAACCTTTCTTAAAAATTTTTTAAAAAATCTCTTCTATGCTACAAATTGCAAAAAATTCTGCTATTTAAAGTTTCAACAAAAACTTGTCCCCTGCACTGAAGCAAGTAGAGATACCTTGGATAATGTCAACATGATGGCACAGGTTTTTTATAAGCCTGACACCATGGGGTTTCACTGCTGCTACTGTTGGTTTTTTTTTGGTCATCTGGGTAGGAAACCACTTCAGAACCCTATCCTGCTGTCCCAACACCAGGCAGTGATGCCAGCAGAGGGGCTGGGGCCAGCCCAACAGACCACAACTGCTGGCCTGGGAGCCCTGCAGATCTGACCAGAGCTGGGCCTCAATGAGGCTCAGGCTCTACTTGCCCAGCTACTTCCCTGGGCATAGGCTTTTGGTCCAAAGTAGTTGCTCTTCCTTGAATCTGAGAACAAAAATACACGATGTCTGAACACTAAAAACACCAAAAACCCTTCAATTACTGAGACCCTAAAAGGTCATCCAAGTCATTCATCCATTCCTCAGAAGTCCTATTCTTCAGCAGGGAGTCGATCAGGTCGGCATGTCCAGCCACACTGGACAGCCCACTGCTGCTCGGCTGCCCACTGTAGGCAAAGGGCAGCTCCTGGCCCGAAGTCCGCACAGGGTAGGCCTGGGCGCAGTGCAGTCCCGTCCGGCCGCTTATCTGTGAGGTGGGGCTCTGGCTGAAGCTCCCTAGATCAGGCCCTGCTGGGCTCAGGCCAGGCAAGCCCTGCTGCGGGCCTGCCTGGGGTGGAGCAGGTGCTGGGGCACTGGTCCTCTGATGTGTACTCACTGGGGGCAGCATGGACCCTGCAGCAGCTGCAGAGCTCATGGGGGCCATGGGCCTGCTGGACATCGCCTGGGAGAACTGTGGACTGGACATCTTCAGGTGAGCCTGCTGCATGTGGAAACTGGAGGCTGCAGTGAAGGGGCTTACGTTGCTGTTCCCTGGCGTCTGGCTGCTCAGGTTCGCCATTCCCTGATGTTGCCATGAGGCATTCTGGCCTCCCATGGCTGCTGACATCCTTGGGACCTGTGGCTTAGTTAAACCAGAGGTCAGGGTTCCCTTATTGTGCTGCTGGGAGAGGCCAGAGCTCCCCAGAGAGTTCTGTCCGTAGGCAGCTGGCACCGAGGTATTCTGACCCACACTGGTCTGCCGTGAAATGTGGGCATGTCCATTGGTGGCCTGCGGAGGGGGCTGGGCAACTATCTGGGTTATGCCAGAGGCCATGCCATAGAGGCTGCTCTGAGGCATGCTCTGGGAGCCGGTGAACTGGGCCACGCCCCGGTCCTGCTGGCCTGAGTTGGTGGGGAGAGAGGAAACGGAAGTGTGTCCAGGGCCCATTGGCATCAGATTCCCAGGCTGGGGGAACACTCGAGGGCAGCTGGAGTTGGATGGACCCAAGTTGTTCATGCCAGGCACAGCAGCAGAGGATCCTAGAAGACAGAAAAATCTGTTAATGAAGCTGGCGTTTTTTGGTTGGACTGGGGTTTGAACTCAGGGCTTCACACCTGCTAGGCAAGCACTCCACTACATGAACCATGTCCCTAGGCCGCTCCTTTTCCTTTTTTACCCCCAGGCTGGCACTTCTTGATCACCACTGTGGAGACACCTCTGAGACCCAAGTTGCAGGATGCAGTCCTTCTTTTCCACAGGCAAGAAAAACAACATCCTAACATGGACAGTGGTACACTGCCAACAAGAAGAGTGCTGCAGGGGAGTGGGGGGAGGAGGGCTGAAGGGGCAGAAAGTCTCCCACAGAGTAGAATGGAAGCCATGTCTGGAACAGTGACTGGACTCAGAAAGACAAAGAGGAAAGAGGGAGAATCAGTTGGCTTGTCCATTCACCTTTCAAATACCCACCAAAGTTTTGCTCAGTGTGGGCCTATGCTGGGTACTGGGGATTTCAAAATGGATCTACCCTGGCATCTGCTTTTGTGAGGCAAAGTCACCACAGCGCCTGAGAGTCACAGCCTGAGCAGCAGGCTGCAGGAACGCAGGGGCCTAAAATCTTGGTAGCCAGGAAGATTTGGGGAAGTCTTCAGAAAGATGGTAATAAACCCACGGGGGTTTAGACGTAATATATGAAGGAGCTGGTAGCTTGCTCAAGCAGTAAGTACAGCACCTGCCTCCCAAGCCGGAGGCCCTAAATTCAACCCCCCAGTACTGTCCTCCAAAAAGTAGAAGCTTAGCAATTTTACAGTTTGGAAATAAAGAGCATTCTAGGCAGAAAAGAGTGAGAACACACAATGTTGTGAAAGGCGTCTACGTGGGGACGTTAACAGGGTAGCTGTGGTTGGACTGGGGGGACAGTGTTTAGCTAATTACTAATAAGACAGAAGAGCTAGAGCAGCTAGACTAGCAGACACTGAGGATGGTATGTGAAGAGCAGGACTGGAAAGCCAAAGGGGAGCTGGTCTGAGGCTGTGGTTCAGGCCCTGCTGGGAGAGGCTATTCTGGCCATTTGCTGAGGCAGAGAAACACGGGAAGACACTTCACCAGACCCATTGTCCATGTCATAAAATCACAAAATGGTCAAGAGAGGGAGGAGCCCAGCATGGAATCACCAGGTGTTTACTGAGCATGGCTCTGCAGAAGGTGCCATGTTTAGGACAGCAGGGAAGGCTCTTATCCTTAGGAAACTTGCTGTCTAGGGCTTCTGATCTAAGCAACAGACACATAGTGACACCACTATTTACTAAGATAGGCTCTTCTGAGTATGAGAGTCACTAGTCAAGAATTGTTATAATTTAGTTTTTGTCTTTTCTCTTCCTCGCTACTAGCATATAAAAACTAGGTTGAGGAAAAGAGGAGAGTTGAAGCAATCTTTTATTCCTGTTAACAATCTATGACAACATGAGATGGAACTGAGGCAGGAAACATGCCAGACCTGGGCTCTGGGACATCTGCAGATGTCCCCATGTCCCCATGTCCCCAGCTAACACACACAGGAAAGCTCACTAATCTCCTCCAGAACATATGTAGGCTGTGGTCAGTTGCTCTGGGACACTTTATAGTGAGGGCCACTGACCAAGGAAGGAAATAGGTTTTTAAATCTCCCACGAATAGATAAATAGGCCCTATTTTACTCTGAAATCTCTCACCTGAAATCTCTATCCTCTTCTGGAGTCCAAGCAAGCTACCTAGCACATCTCAGAGGTGACAGCTGAGACTTTAGTATGCTTCCTGTCCTTTCCTGGCTAACTGTCCACTGCTGATGCTGCTGCCTGTGACACCAAAGTGAGAAGACAGGAGGAGAGAAACCAAGCAAAGTCCACACAAGTATAGTAAGTCTTTCCTCATCTGGAGAGTTACAGAGGGGTATTGTTTGAAAGGATACCTAAGGGAAGAAGCAAATAACTCTCTTAAGAATTACAGAAGTCATTTCCTGTTGACAAGATGTCCTCCAACTCAAAAGGCTGCATAGCCAGGACCAAGCAAATGCATTGTCAGCTGTCTGTCTCTGAGACCCTCTTCTCCAGGCTTCTTTGACAGACTAAGGCCTCTAAATCTAAGTAAATTCACTTTGCATCTAACACAGGCTAGGCAGGGAGCGAGAACTTGATCAGCACTGGATAATGACCAACAGGGAACTGAGATGGTATGTCTGGTCCCCACTTCATTCTCTTACCTGTGAACTGTCCAACCTGTTGTGGGAAGGTGCTTTGTGTCGGGTCTTGGTACTGAGGGGGCGGGCGGGTCAGATGACGCTGAAACTGCTGCTTCTCCTAGAAAAAGCCCAGAACAAAACAAAACAATAAAACCCACTCAAAGAGGAAAAACAAAAACAAATGAGCAGAGTCAGGTGAGATAAAAGCAAAGTACCCAAGTATGTTACTCACAAATGGGCTACTGTAGGTTGTACTGTGCTCAGGGTACAGGCTTTGTTCTAGGTGAGGAAAACACTCTAAAATTGATTGTGGTGATGGCTGCACAACTCTGTATAAACTATAAACCACTGACCTGTACTATTTAAATGGGTGAACTGTATGCTATGTAAATTATATCCTAATAAGGCAGGTATTTTTTTTTTTCTAAAGGTAGAACTGAGGCAGTGCTCATCCTGAATCAACTGCTCTCTCTGGAGTTGGTTCCTGAGTCTTACAGGCATAATTTAAAATCCTGAGAACTCTCAGTGGTAGTCTGGGGCCTGTATGATACACCTGGTAACCAAGTGAGTGAACTGTGCATCCTGAGTCTACAACCTCAGAACCTCAGGGACATCTTCCCTCTTTACATCTTTGTTTATAACACACTTCATTTACAATAAACCTGGGCCCCATGCAGACTGATGGAGTTCAGTGGTCTGGAAGCTGCCAACCAATAACGTGGAAAAATGTCCCTTATATGTGCAGTTTCGTTAATCCCCACTAAGGAACACCAAGTGGCTTCTGATATAGGCCACCTGTCTAAGAAATGTCACACTCCTGAAAAGAGAATTTGAAAGAACAAAGCACTTGACACCAAGCATGCGAACAAGTCAGTGCAAATCACAGGCACAAGTGGAGCCTGCGTGGTTTTCTTCTGTCTTTCTCATTACCTGCTCTGCCAGAAGGTGCTGCTGTCTCTGCAGGAACTGCTGCTGCTGCTGCTGCAGGTGTTTTTGCTGCTGCTCCCTCTGTTTCTGCTGGTCCAAGAGCAACTGATGCTGCTTCATCACAGCCACCTGCTGCTGGCTGCTGAGATATGGGGAGCTGGTGTGAGTGCTGGCCACGGACACAGAAGGTGGCTGGGTCCCCACACTGGTGGCCTGGGCTGGCACCGGGACACTGGAAGGGTTCTGCTCCTGTCAACACAGACAAACGGGACAGACAAGTCAGGTGGGACAGCTGATGTCTCTGGCTGATCAGGCCAGATGAGTTTCACCAGTGAGAGCCTTACTGGAGTCTGTCTTGATGCTGAGTCTCTACTTCCCTGTTGAGCAGAGGTGGAGCCCCAAACCCACACTGTCCAAGCATCCAGGCACCAAGCAATGAACAACACTTAACACTATAGTTTTACATCAAACATGTTCAAGCTCTCCTATTTGCACAATTCTTCCAGTAAGCAATGACAACTTACAAGTGCTTGCATACTGGAATCTTTGAGGGCAGGAGCCCGCATTCTAAAAGGGGGTCTGCTGGATGGAAATGCTATGTCCTGATGATGTGAACCTGGTTCCGGGGCTATCCCTGAACAGCTTGAGACTGTGTGTCCACCCACTGTGTAGTACAAGCACTTTTCTGGGGAGAAACTGGTTAGCTTTTGTCACAAACTTGTGCTAAAAAATACTGCATGTCAATGAGAACTTTAACAGGCATTCTGCTAATACATCAACCAAAAGTGAGAGTCCTGTTGTGAGCTAACACAATGTTATTCCAACATCATTACTTATAATTAGAAGAAAAGGAGAAAACTTAACACAAGAAAAAAGCAAAAAGCAATTGTTACATAAACAAGCTTAACTTTTCTGAGCTCCTTTGCAGTTATTTGTTTGTATATGTAATCAATATTCTAATCTTAGACCTTCAGATGGTGTAATTCCTTACCATGCCCCTAGAAGCTAAGGGTCTTCTGAGCGGGGGTCTGAAAAGTGCAAAGCAGTAATCACCATGCTACTCTTCCTTTCTTCGGGTCATGTTTACTAGCTGTGTAACTTTTTTTACTTGTGTCTGTCTTCTGAGACAGTCTTTCTATGTAGCTCAGGCCAGCTCTGACTTTGAGATCCTCCTGCCTCAGCCTCCCAAGCAGGTGGGACTACCTGTATAGCTCAAGAGATTTTGAACACAGATCTGAAAGGTGGCAAAAAAGCAAAGTCTCTAAAAACCACATTAAATGAGACCATTACCTGCAAAGCACAGCCACAAATGACTTAACTGTGTGGCAGGAAAGAGACACTGGACTAAACAAGATGATTCCTCAAATGTGCAGTTAAAAATCAAATTATACTAAGAATTTTCACAAGGTTTTTGCTTATTAAAAAGTCAACACTAGATTTATTTTATACATTGTCATTCCCAAAGGAATCAAAGGACAGCAGGAGCTGCTCCCTCCTCCACTGTTCCCACACGCCCTTGAACCCAATTAGCACGTTTACCTCACTAATGGCTGCAGCAGAAGAACAGCAAGGGAAGCCAGGCACTTACCTGGCCAGGTGGAACCAGTGAACGGAAAGGCATGTTTCCTGGCTTTGGTTTCATCAGAAACAAGGAGTTTTGCTCATTATTCAGATGAGGGAGCTGCTGGGGAAGATAGGCCATCAAGGCTGATTTGGTCTGGCCAGACCCAGGGCCAGCTTGCCCACAGTCTGCTTTGTAATGAGAAAGGGGTTTTGTATTGCCGTAGTCCAACACTGACCCTTGGTTATTGACGGAGCTCTGATTCAAGTTACTCGGTGACTGGTGACTCAGCAGGTTCACATGGCTGGGCTGGAGGTAGGGACCTCCAGGTCGGGGGGAACTCTTGGTCACACCAGACATCATGATCAGTTTGGAGTTGGGGAAGTCTTGCTTGTAGCCAGGAGGGCTGGCAGGCTTCTCCATGGGGTAAGGGACATCTAAGGGACTGTGGGATGGCCCTGTCTGCTGCCATGTGGCCATCTGGCCTGGGGCTGGTGCCACGGCCTGCTGTGGGTTCTGGAGCATCTGCTCACGCTTCTGCTTGGCAGCGATCTGCTGGAGCTGGTGGGCAGAGGAGAGCTCTGAGGCCCCTCCTGGGCCCTGGCTAGGCAACACCACACTTGGGAGGGCTCTTTGTGCATTCTGGGCCTGGGCTGATGCCAGCATCAGGTTCGAACTGGGATTGTCCGCCCCGGGCTGACCAGAGGTGTGGAACAGGGTCTGAGAGCCCCCAAGGCTGGGAAGAATCTGTGCTCACAGGGGCGGATGAAGGCCCCAGAAAGGTCTGTCCCGCAGACCCGGCCCTCACTTGTGGAGAGCCTAACTGTTCTTGCTCAAAGGCTGCTGGAGAGAATTCTGTCTTAATATTAATGTCCTGGGTCAGAGGTGTTTGTGTGGCAGAGCCAGAAGGCTCTGGTTCCTTCTTCTCCTCAAAATCCTCAGTAAACAGGTCTTTCATGTCTTCATCGGGCACTGACCTGTTCAGCTCCTCGATGAGTTCCTTCCATTCCTGCTCATTAAGGTTGAGGTCTGGCATGAGGTTACTCTGTGATATAGAGCCTCCAGTCCCAGTAATCATGCATGGCAGGTCATCAACAGGTTCCTGCTTCAGTTCTTTATTCAGGCTCAGAGGAAATGACTCACTGGGGTTGCTGCCTCCATTCAAGTGGAGGCTGGAGTCTGCCAGACATTTTTTGTTGATGGAGTCTAGCCCCAGCGAGTGCTTCCCACTGGACTGCAGGGCATCTCCCCCAGGAGGCTTGTCAGGCTGACCAAGGGGCGAGGCTGGAGGCAGTCCATTAGCAGACACTGCAACACCCAGAGGAGCTTCCCGGCGGGTTTTCTTATGCCCAGGAAAGAGGTCTCCATAGCCATTTTGTTGATCTCCATTCTGAGGGGATGCAGTACTGTCAAGGTTCCTCTTCACTGTATCATGAAGATGCTGAAAAACATGGAAAACACAGACTTTGGTATACTGCTACCAATAGTGACTTAAACCAGGAGCCGAATTCTTGCAATGCTCTCCTGTGTTTATACCCCCACTTATAGGAACACACCCCCATTTCCCCTTATGGCACTGCCTGGTCAGTTCAAGTTTTATCTGACCCTGGACTTGTGCTGCCCCTTCTTTCTTCCTTTTTTTTTTTTTTTTTGGCAGTACTGGGGTTTGAATTCAGGGCTTCGTGCTTGAGAGGCAAGCACTCTACCACATGAGGCATGCCTCCAGTCCCTCCCTGTTAAATCTTAAGCATCTTCCAATCAATAACTCCTACTCACCACCCTCACAAGTCTTACCACCATTTTTTTTTTGCGGGGGGGCAGTACTGGGGTTTGAACTCAGGGCCTCATGCTTGCTACACAGGCATTCTCCCACTTGAGCTACTCTGCCAGCCCTTTTTTGTGTTGGGTATTTTCGAGATAGGGTCTTGTGGACTACTTGCCCAGGCTCACCTTGAACCATGATCCTCCTGATCTCTGCCTCTTGAGTAGGTAGGATTACAGGTGTGCACCCGGCCCCTGCCACTTCTTACCAAGACCCTTCCATGAACACAATCGTGTCTGCTCTGGCACTGTTATTCTCTGCTTCCTTATTTTCTCAACTATTCATTCAATTAACTTCATTTAGAGTCCACCAGGGCCAGTGAGAAGGACTGTGGGGGAATACTAAAGACAAATAAGGTGTTCCTAGTTCTTAATGGGCATCCAATCTCCTAGAAGATGGGGCAAAAGCAGACATGGCTATAGAATAAGGCAAATGCCCTATGCAAACAATATAGCAGTAAATGCCCTGATAACTCAGGGGCAGGAATTTCACGAGAACATGACAGTAGGGTGGGGAGGAGAGGTGATATCTCTCCACTGCCTCCCTAGCTTCACCTTTAACTGTCAGGACCTGACTCCTCCCCTGCCCAAAGGAGGAACCAGCAAACAGCCTCAAATCTTGTGCTGCTTCTTTCCTATGTTTACCTTTATTATATTTTGTTCTCCATCCCTCACCCCTAATACCATCCCTTCCTCCCATTAACTGTAAGCACCTATAGTGTGCTGTTAAAAATGTTCATGCCAGGCATGCTGGCGTACACCTATAATCTCAGCAGTTGGGAGGCTGAGACAGGAAGATCATGAGTCCCAGGCCAGTCTGGGCTACACTGCAAGACTGTCCCTTAAAAAGAGTCGGGGTGGCATGTGGCAGTCCGTGTAGTTTCATACGTTGCAGAGAAGGGCTACACTGCCGCCACACTTGTCCTAGCAGAATGCAGATGTACTTTGACCTGGGTGTCCTACCGGAGGCAGCTCTCTGGCCCCACCTCCCAGAAGAGGTTATCTACTGGATACACCAAGGGTGGTTTTTTCAACCTCTTGGTCCCAATTCTAATGCCCCCATTTCTTTTGTCTATCATATCAAGCTTTTCTTACTTCTTAACTGTTCAAGTGAACTGTAGAGTTCTATACATCTCAATTGAGCATTTCTCTTTTTTGGTTGTACTGGTATTTGAACAGAAGGCCTTGTGCTTCCTAGGCAGGCACTCTACCACTTACGACAAGTCTCCAGGCCTTTTTGCTTTAGGTATTGTTTGAATAGGGTTTCATGTCTATGCCTGAGCTGGCCTGGACTGCCATACTATTAATGATTCCCATGTAGCTGGGATGACAGGCATGTGCTGCCATGCTCAACTTTTATTGGTTGAGTCGGGGGTCTTGATAACTTTTTGCCTGGGCTGGCCTCAAACTGAGATCCTCCCAATCTCAGCTTCCTGAGTAGCTAGGATTACAGATGTGAGCCACCATGCCCGGCCCAGCTAAGCATTTTTAAATCTATACATGGGTACCTAAGTTTGTCTGGGAAAAAAAACTTAGGAACGCCTAACAAATGGAACTGTAGGGCAGAGGTAAGCAACAGTCTTAGCAACCAGTTTAACAACAGGGTCTTGGTCACTACAGGACATCTGCTTTGCTTTCAAAGCAAAGTAATTGGGTTTCTTTTTTTCCTTTCCCTTGCTTCCTACTGCCACCTATGGGTAGGCTCCTAGAGTACACTCCTTATAAAATCCATAGTTTGACATTTCCTTGGAGAAGGTAAATTCATCCCCCATTTAATAGGTCAGAGGAAATAAAAACAAACTGCTAGTACTTCTTTTGTTCCTTTGAAGAAGAGTCTCTATATGTGGTCTAAGATGGCCTCAAACTCTTGATCCTCCTGCCTCAGCCTCCCGAGTGCTGGAGTTACAAGGCATGTGCCACCACACCAGGCTATATTTCTTTTATTCTGTCTTTTCTATTATTTTCTTTTGTTCCATGGAGCCAGGTCTGGGCTGGTCTGTAAACTCAAGAGCTCAATTTTCCATTTTCCTAAGGGGGAAGATGGAAACGTGAGGGGTCAAGGCATTTGATGAGTCAGCTGGCTATCCCAGATTAGAAACAGAATCCCTCTTTGCCCTAACCATTATAAAGCATGCCACTCCCTCTTTCAATAGCCACATGCAAACAGCTGCAGACAAGTTCCAAAGGAACAACTCAATTTTGCAATACCAATTGCTTGTAGCCAAAGGAAACACTCGGTCTTACTCTCAACTAACAAAATTTAAGTGGAATGATGTAGGCGGGGATGGGAAGTGTGGAATGTGGTGGCTCTGGCAGATTTTTAGGCCTTGATCATTTGCAGGAGTGCCTGATATGTGCAGGGCACTGTAGGAGAGCAAAAATCAGTATGTCTTAAAGCCTGATCTCTAGGCATTTGCAACAGAGATGGGAAGACAGCCTGAAAAGGTTAAAAGTTATATAGGAACCAACAGTAGGTGTTATAAAGTAAACGAGTCCATGAGCCCGTGCTGTACATTTGGTACTTCTGGGTGCTCAGTTCGAAGGTTCCTGTGGAACACTGAATGGTCTCAGGAGCATGCAGGATTCTAAGAGGATCCAGTTCTGAGATGGCGCAAGCCCATGCTTGTGGTCTGCTGGAGAAGAGTGCATGCTCAGAGATGGCTCTCCACCAAGGCACTCTGCAGGCCCACCTCTCCTCCAGCTCTCTCATGAAGAGGCTTCAGCCTCTGGGTGTTACCTGCCATCTTCTGCTCTGGATCAAGCTGGAGCCAGCCACACCTTGGGGACAATAAATCACCATCCTGCCCTCTACCCTGACCGCACTAGCTTTTCACAATGGTTCCTTGCCTCGTTGCCACTTCCTCCTTCTTTAAACCACTCAGTGTGTATTGTGGTCAAGCTCACTGAAAGAAAATGACAACACCTACTTGCAGGAGGGGTTCTCTCTTATCAGTTTCCTTACAGACTCTGAGCCATCTGGGACAGCCGCCAGTGCTTCCTACCCCTCCGCACTGGGAGTTCACCTGTCCTCCTCCCTTGTCCTAGTCTCATCTGCCCCTACCCTATCAGCCAAACACCACCTATCTCATCCCTTCCAGCTAGGACCTCGGTCCTCTGCAATGTGGCTTCCATCCCTCACAAACTGAGAATGGACTGGATGTGGGGGAAAAGTAAGGCAGGAATTAAGACTGTCTCTACAGTCAACAATGGTCTGCTGTTAAACACAGGCCATGCTTTCAGTCCTTCCCTTCCATTCCCACACCATCTGCCAGTTAGTAATTCTACTTACTTGCTTCCATCTTTAAAGTTCCCTTCCTCACATTCCCTTTCCACTCTCTCTTGCCTTCTACTTCTCAGTTCCTCTGAGAACTATCCCTTTCTCCTGCCTTCCATTGAGCATTGTAGTCTTCTTTCCTCTACACACTCTTCCTCAATGTTCTCACCCATTTCCACATCCTCATGCTCCTAGGACTGAATAGTATACCCAGAACAAGCCCAACTGCCCAGGGACCAAATGCTCAGTTAGCCCTCGCCTCTCCAACCCCCTTGGTGCACCTCAGTCACCCCGACCTTACAGTTCCTCAAATGTGTGGCTCATTCCTGCACTAGGGCCCCAACCCTCACTCTTCTCTTTGCCCAGAACACTTCTTCACTCTGCTTGCTCCAGGATGACTCATATGTAATTCAGGTCATTTTTTACTCAGTCATTCTCCACCACCTGCTCCTCCCCAGTTACCCTCTCTCCTATTTCCTTGTTGATGCCCTACCAAGGCTCCCATTAGAATAAAGAGCAGAGGCCTCTTCCCTACAACAGTAGGTGACTGACTGTGCTGTCTCTAGTCCACTCACTACACAGCTCCTGACTCCTGTCTACCTACCTGGCATGATTCTACTCAGGGCCTTACTGATAATGAGAAGAAAATCTGTCTGAAGCTGGAGTCAGCTTCTCCCAGTCCTGTTTTTCTTTTTTTTTTTTGCCCTTCCTTGTTCCTAATCTCAGAGAATGTACTACTAGCCACTCAGTCACATAAACCAGAAACCAGAGCCTCCCCACGCCTCTTCTTCCAGTGAGTACCCAGGCTCCTGCCTCATGTACTCATCAACCACCTTAACTTTGTTTTTTTTCTTTTATTCATATGTGCATACAATGTTTGGGTCATTTCTCCTCCTTCCCTCCGCCCCCTCCCTTACCTACTCCTTAACTTTGTTTTTTTGTTGTTATTTGTTTTGGTTTTGCTGGGACTGAACCCAGGGCCTCCCTCATGCTAGGCAAGCATTCTATCACTGAGTTATATCCCCAAACCTAACTTTTCTTTTTCTTTCTTTCTTTGAACTCAGGGCCTACACCTTGAGGCACTCCACCAGTTGTTTTTTTTTTTTTTTTTTTTTTGTGATGGGCTTTTTCAAGATAGGGTCTAGAGAACTATTTGCCTGGGCTGGCTTTGAACCACCATCCTCCTGATCTCTGCCTCCTAAGTAGCTAGGATCACAGGCATGCGCCACTAGCACCTGGCTTCTAGTTTTTCTTGATTCCACCCACTTGTCCCCATCTACTTAACAACACTAGTTTCTCTTCCCTGGATTATTTTTAACTGTGTCTACAGTCAATCTTGTCACAGC